GGGGAGGGGGGAGAAGATGGGGGAGGGGGAGGGGCAGACCAAAGACTCACCCCAGTAGCATTATCCTCCAAGGGTAGCTACACAAAAAAGAGGAAGGGAATTAAAAGGAATAAAGACATGAGTGAATGCCTGCAAGTTGCAGGGAAACTTTAAAAAAACAAAAACCCACACCATTATCGAGGCTCACGTGAAATGTATACTCCAATGAAGAGAGAATAGTAAGAGGACCCTCCAAGCCACCATTTCTAATCAGTAAGAGGCTGTTAAAGGCATCCTTTAAGAATTGGAGGCCCTGTCCCTACTGAAGACACCAGAAAGGAGCACAGGCTCTGGCAAGCGAAGTGTAAAACTACAACTAGACAGGCCGAAACAAATTTGAAGAGCAACTGGCAGAAGACGGACATCCGTAATCCTAATGCTGCTCCCGTCGTAGCAATAGTATCCACTGACTCCAATGAGGAGAAACTTAACTCTGTGGAGAACAGTTTCAAAAGCCTCACCCTTCATGCTTGAGATGAAAAATGGCTCCTGCCACTTCTCGTTCCTTTGTCATGGATTTGGCGTGATGTTCAGATTGCCTTAGCTCAAGTTTATGGTGAGACCTTCCGTAGACTATCGAGAGCAAGCTTCGTTGCTGGTGAATCTTCCCTTCTGGTCTTACTGATAACGTTACTAAGGAAGGTGCCATGCTGCACTTCAGGAGATGTTGAAAATAGGGCAGACTGACCCCAGCATCGCTAGTGGTCTGCATCAGGTGTGTACCATGGTGCAGGCAATAAATGAGGGTCCTGCACTTGGTCATTCAGGAAAATGCACTATGAACACTAGCTCCTCCAAGAGCAGCTTCCATATCCTAAGCAGTTTTACAGAGCATTGTACAGCTATTTGTTTATCCAGAAGTGTCCTGTTCGGTACAGTATTTCTAGCTAAGTAGCTACAGGACTATTGTGTGTCTAGGTGCTTAAGGAATGGCATTAATGGCTGCAAAAAGGCCTGCCGAAGTACTCTGTCCAGGATCTGGATGTTGGAAGGGAAGGCAACCCCACGGCTCTGATAAGGGCGTGGACAAAATTGGCTTGGATGAAGGGGAGAAGACAGTGGCCTAAAGAGTTGTTCTAAAATTCTGGTGTGGCTTTAAGTGTAAAGTCTCTCTCCTGGAGCATCTTTTCTAGCCTCCATAAATAGCTGCTCCTGCACCAGAAGGCTACTTTCAGACTCTTCATGCTTTTTCTAAGAGGTGGGATCAAGTGCTCTGCTAGCTGAGATGTAGTTTGTGTGAGGCCTTTTATTTGCCTTGCTTCATAGCAAGGAGCTTGTGCTCCTTTCTGGTTTTCCTCAGTAGGCCTGGACCTCCCATTTTTTAAAGGATGCCTTTAACAGCCTGTTTAGTCATGGTGATGTTTTTCTGGGGGTCCTTTTACTATTTTTTTTAAATTGATCATACAAAGCACAGAATCCAGAGCCAACTTAGTGATGCTATGTATACAAATAAAAGTAACATCCCTCCCTCCCTCCTTTCCTTTAAAAAAGGATCTTCTGTACAGACGTACCCGGGCCCTTGTGGACTTTGAAAATTCAAACAAAGCCCTGGACAAAGCTAGACTGAAAAGCAAAGATGTCCGACTGGCAGAGGCACATCAACAAGCCTGCTGCCAGAAGTTTGAAAAGCTTTCTGAGTCAGCAAAAGAAGGTAACACAACATCACCCTGCAATAAATTCTTTTTTTTTTCTCTGCATCCACGCCAGGCCTCTTCTAGAGGGACTCGATCCATAGTAACACCACAGTACACTCCCAACAGCTCTCCAAAAATCTCATTTCTCCTAACTCACTTCTCTCTAGGCTAGCAGGTTCTCTGAGTAACAGTCAAGTGAACAGACCAATCTCAGCATCCATAAATGTCCCTTTCTAGTAAATCTGACTCCAATTAAATGTTCAGTCTTCTGGTCGTCTTCAACTAGTAGATCATCGTATCCCCGAAGCAAAACTGGGGCCTACTTATGCTGCTTTAATTGTCCTGCATTGTCCTTTTGGGTTGAAGCTTTGTTCTTGCTCTCTTCCCCCAAAGGCAACTTCACAAGTAAATCAATGGTATGGATCAGTCCACTTAGAGCAGTATTTGACTCATGCAGGCCTCGTGTGAGGCATTGGATGGACAGCAAAACAAAGCTCTTCTGATCAGCGCCTGTGCACACGAGGGAAGCAGCCTTTCCTGAGTCTTGTTTCCCGACAATCCCCACTCCCAAAGCTGTGCTTCCAGCTTTGGAGCCCATTTTAGTGCAGCATGTGCAGGTTTAATGTACCCTCAGCTGATCAGGTGTGATCTGGCCAGCAGTATACACAGTCCCAGAGCATCCATGCAGGACTGCAGTGTCTCTTGTGGCCACTTGGAAACCGGCACACATCGCCTCAGGCGTACGGGGCTGGAGCTTCAGAACTCGGAGCAGGAGGGACTCTTCTGACTAGCCTGTGTCTGAAGGAAAAACCCGACTTGGAAAACAGATGCGAAGGTTTCAGTATGCATCACCGAGCACATGCTGAGGTGCAGAACAGTGCAGCTGCATTGCAGCTAGAGCAGAGAACTGAGAATTTGACTCATACGTGGCGATCTGCCTCTGACTTGTGTTAGGGTAGGTCGCTAACCTCTTGGCGCTGCAGCTGATGACCTCTAAAACCATTATTTACTTAGAAGGAACTGCACCGCCCACCCAAGGCGCACATGTATGCGGCTGCATGCACACAATTCTCCACCCGCCCACCTCCTTGGCAGTGCCGCATGGGAGCTCTCACTTTTCTGCAGGAAGGAGAGTGGCCCGATGGGTTCCTGCTCCAGTGGCAACCATGTAGCCTCGCTGGCGGGGTTGCATGGCGGGCGGCTGCCCTGGTGTGCCGCAGCTAGCACTGGGCCGCAGTGAAGTGGGTGAATATTCTTATTCTCCAGAACTTCTCTGGAGTCAGCCCAAAGCATACCATAGAGGGGGAATAAAGGAAGGGCTTGTTGGCTCATCTCTGGGAGTGTTTATAGAAGAAACCTGTGTTTGTACTTGAGAGAATTTCACAGGCTCTATTTAAGGGGGACAATGTAACATTCTGTTATATGCATGCATGCATACACGCGCGCACTCTTGTTGTTGCTTAAAGTTACCAGTTTGTTGCTCTCATTAACTCACTGGCCAGGTGAGTTAAATGCGAGGGGGAGGAGCAGGGCTTCTCTAGGTCTAGATCAGCCCTCTGATCTTGACAAGACCCAAAGAGTCATACAAGACACTCCATCTTTTATAGGACTTTTCTCCCATTTAGGTCTATGCATTCTGCTGAGTCAGTTCTTAATCACCATCCCTTCCGTTTATCTGGAAGTTGTTGTTCTTTGTCATCTAGCCTCGGTATATTGTTGCCTCCTTCCCAGTGTTGCTCTTAACGCCAAGGCTCTGTCCTGCACTGGTCTGCCTTTATTTTGGGCCCAGTTGATAGCACCTGAGTCTTCTAGTTCCTTGTCCTGCTTCTTTGACCGTCTGGACTCTGAAACTGTTGAGCCTACGAGTTATCTTTCTCCAGACACTCATGTTCCACCCTCATTCACTCCCCTTTGGGAGCTGCACAGCTCTCACATGGGAAAAGAGACAATTGTCTGCAAAGGGTATCTGTCTGTTTCCAATACAAAGCTTCTGCTAGTACAAACTTTTAATCCTCATGTTTTCTTAACACAATCTGTTCTAATTACTCCTAAGAGCAACAGCGTGAATCATACTGAATCACAAGGATCCTTCCAATCTTTCTGCCTTGACATCAGATACAAACACAAGCAATCAGCCTTATGGATCTTTATTAAGGGCCTAGAAGACTGTTCTTCCCTGCTAACCAGAGTAGGGCAGCTGGCAGAGTTATAGTTGCTTAACATTTATTCTCACACTAGTCATTAAGCGCATCACATAAACCTTCTAAAACTGTCTACTCCTGTTAAAAGCAGTCATTTATTAGTAGAAAAGAGATCAAGGAAATCTCTGCTCTGTTCCCCTCTCTCAAATATGCATGCACATTAGTTATCCGTTCAGGTGTCTTCCATAAAGGTGCTAGGTTTCCCCCTCCTCCTTCATGGAACTTTGAGATTTATATTTACTCAGAATATTTATAACATTGACCATTGTCTGCAGCTTCTGGTCTGTGACTTTAACAGTCCCAGCTGTAGCTTCATGGAGAAGGGGGAAACATGCAATACGAATCTGAACAGAATAGAAGCCATTGAACAACTTACATACAAATGGGTTGAAACCCAAGTACTATCTCTTGGTTATCCCAAACATCAGGATCGTTCATATTCAGATCCAAACTTCTTATTTGGTACATTTAAGAGCGCCAAGAATTGAAAATTTTATCCAAACATCTCAGTGTTTGGGGACTTCCAGAACACAGACCTACTCCCACTTGTAACATGTCCACACATCCCTTTTTTTGGTCTGTTTGTTCAATAGCTCTAGCGCCGTGCTAGCCATTCCTTCTCATCCTGCATGAGAACCCTGAACAGTTGCTGTCAAACTAGTTCTGCCAGTGGTCTTATAGCTAGAGCCGGGCTACACTATAAAAATTGATATGCTTGGGAAATCTTCACGCTGCTGAAAGTACAGGTGCTCAGACTTTCAGTAGTGATCCCCCTACCCTCTCTGCAGGAATGTGGGAAGGAGGATAGCTTTGTAGTAGCATATCCCCCTACCTTGTGTGGTGAATGTGGAATTTGCCTGTAGAAAGTTTCACCTCCTCACTTGGATCTTTAGGGACACAGTCTGCCCCAATATAAAGCTAACGCTTTATTAAACGTGCACCTGAGAACCTTCTTTTAAAGAATGACCAAGACCTTTCACTGATAACTGCAGGCTTACAACAGTAGAAATGATCTTATTTTTGTCTACAAAAAATTGCATCCTTTTCTTTGAAGGCCTGTATAGAAGAATCTGTCTCTTTTCATGGGTAGCTGCTTCTGAACAAGTTAGAAAGTACCTATGTCTTACCTCTCATGTGCTATGCTCACTAGAAGATTTACCCAGTGTTGCTTGGTTCCTTAGCTCATAGTTTTGTTTTTCATTTAAATCATTGCTCTGTAGCTTATGTGAATGGAGTCTGCAAATGTACAGTTTACAAGACAGACAGACTTTAAATGTGTGTTAATGGAGGAAAGTTTATATGCCCTGTATCTTTTTAAATAACTTGTCACCTCAGCACAGGCCGGTTTTGCCATAAGGGAGCCTGAGGGATCATCTAGCCCAGCTGGGAAGAGGGTCTTGGAGAAGACTATAAACAGGAAGTTGGCTACTTAAAATTTTATAGCACTTTCTTATTTGATGTCATCTCAAACATTTCAAGTTATGTACCTTGTTAATTATCGCTGGTTTTAGTATTCTTTCTTCCAGAACAATTAAAACAAACAAGATATTTGTTAACTTGGGTGCTACAATAACACGCACCTGAACAAGCACACAGCCTCACTATTGGTGCACAAGACCAAACTCCCTCTGCTCACAGATGGAAAACATTAGTGGGAATACTGTTAATGCTGGATTTAAGGATCTCTTATGGAAAGTACTTTGTCAAGTGCTGAAAGTTCCTGTGATATTGAAGGACTAAAGATCTGGCTACTCAGGGTACCCGCTTTAGACTACACTTGCGTACCTACTCTGGAGTTTCCTTAAAGCAAAAACCAGTTGATTCCCATTTCTGCTGGACTGTCTATGGAGTATCTAGTCAAGGTCTGTCTCATGCTCTTTCGTTTACCTTGCAATTCTTCGTATGCTATAGGCATTCTGCAAGTGTGGTTTTATGAGTAGGAACCTTAATGTAGGACCAAGCAGGGAAGGGGTGCAAATTTGTAAGCAAATGAGGTAAACCATGTGCTGTCTAGCTGGTGCTGTGTTGGGTCCTCATGCTCCATGCAGTTCTCTTGTGTCCCTAGAGTGTCTTGCAATCTAGCAATGGGTAGTCCCTCGTCTGATCTGCCTCCTTGGAGAGGGCAGGGGCAACGCCAGCCGTTCAAAACCCCTTCCTAGTGTAGGCAAGCCACGCTTCCTGTCTCCCTCAGACGCCACGTGCAAGGACTCGAGCCCCTGTCAAGCAGTGCTTAAATGGAGTTGGCTCTCCCTCTTGTGTGGTACAGCCCTATAATCACTCTCCCTGTGCGGCGAAGGAGTTCAAAGTCCAGATTCCTGGGCTGTTGTACAGTGCCACTCTATTGCTTTTATACTCTCCTTCAAGGAGGAGACAGGAGGCCTTAAGGCCTAATCCTTGGAGCACTGGACTGATTCCCTTCAGAATTTTAACTCCTTGGGGACACTAACTCGGAGGAGGAGCAAGGCAGGGGTGTCCAACCCTCTCTAAGTGCTGAACGCTGCTTGCAACTATCCACATGGAAACGTTGCCAATTAAAACCCGAAGTTGTGTGGACGGAATGTTTGCCTGTGGGGGAAGTGGAGGGCAGGTGGGGGAAGTGAAGGGCGGGTCCCTTTATGTTCCTACCTTCCCCAGTAGATAATGTTCATAGAGTCCCTCCCTGCTGTTGTAGAACTGAACAACTTCAAACGGAAGAGAATAGCAGCCTTTCGGAAAAATCTAATTGAAATGGCTGAACTGGAAATCAAGCATGCGAAGGTAAGCAGTCTCACCAGGGGCTTCATGCAACAGGCTGTACGACTTCAGGGATTGCACAAGCTCTCACCCTTCCTCCCGGTGACATTGACTTTTTTACCCTGGCTGCATTACAGTGGGTTGTTCTCTCCTTTGTAGGGTTAGGAAACTGCTTTGCACGCTTTACACGGAAAGTTCACTTTACCTCATTTGTTTTAAATTGGCTTGTCACCTTTCGTATCCTCTGAGCACCCTCCATCCTGCGCAGGATTGACTATCCAGTGGGGATGATGAGGCTGCTTGTAGGACCCTGGCCTCAATTGCTGTACTTGTAGAGAATTCTGCAGAAGAAAATAGGATCCAATTCTCCTGCAGAAGAAAATAGGATCCAATTCTCCTGGATCTCCCACAAACTTGGTGCTGAGTGAGCCACTGTGTTCCTCCATCCTCAGAGCCCAACTTGAGACACTGAGGCCTCATTCTCAAGAGGGCTGAGCACTCGGATCTCCTGCCCATGCTCAGCACCCTCTGAATAATCCGACTGCAGGTGTATCCTGTTGGGCAGTGATCCTTCAGAGCTCCATAGCTGGTGGATACTTGCTGATCCTGGCCTGGAATCTTCCTGTGCCTCAGTTCCCCAGCTGTACAATGGGGATGGTACATCCCATTTAGAGTTCCACAGAGGAGCTTGAAAATGCTTGTTTATAGTGAGCACTTACTGAGATGGGTCCCATAAGTGGATGAGGAGAGTGACCTTGTAATTAAGGACCATTTATGCGTCAAGGGGCAGAATTAAGGTTGCAGAAGCAACCTTAATTTTGGCACGTCCAAAGTGGAAGGCTTGTCTCTGCAGCCTTAGCATCCTTCACGTGATCTGTGCAGTGATGACGTTAACCATAGCTTTCAGGCCTTGAGAGGGCGGAAAGTACTTTCCATTTCTGAGGCCACCAAATCAAGCTCACATGTTTCTAGGCTTTTTAATCCCATGCCTCTCACTCAGAATTAACTCTTCCCTTCCAGAACAATGTCTCTCTCCTGCAAAGCTGCATGGACTTGTTCAAGAACAACTAAGGCACCTTTCATCTGACAGAATGTGGGGGGAAAAAACACATCAGTTGCACTCGACAGCCATGGGGAAATGTATATCTAGCTTGACTTCATTAGGTTAAAATACATGAAGACGCTGTCTTGAGCTCTTTGGCTAATACCTACCCATGTTGACATCAACATATGGGCTTCCCTGGTATAAATGAAAGCTGAATTGCGTATGAATTACTTGGATGTAGCTAACTTCCGGTTGAGTTAATATCAAAGTACAAGTACTAGATTCTGGAACATGGACCAGTTTTCTAATGATGGAGAAAACAGCCCCTTTTTACCAAGGATGGCATTGCAATCTGTGTCTATGTAGCCCAAACTATCTGTGTCAAGTTCATATTTGGGGAGATCTTATGTACAACATTCTTAAGCAGTTTTATAAGTCCGCTTCATAGAGAGATTTCTACTACAATGTATTTTGGATTTCTATAACTACATTCAGAATTTGTACAATCGGCAATACAGCAAAAATAAACGTCTCATACTATTACGTGTGTGTCTACATCTTATGTAGTAGACGTCTTTGTGTGGTATTTAAACCTCCAAGTAGTTTAGAAAAAGGAAGCCTTTTAAGATATCCAGCAACGTAACTATTTTCATATCGAACCTGGAAGATTGTTCCAATTAGAAGGCAAACAAGACTCAGATTGGTAGTTGGTTTTGGTCTGATTTTTCTCACCAACAACTTTACAGATGCACAACATGATCCAGTAGGAAACTGAAAGGTTTTTTGACCTGAAGTGGCTGATGGACTTGACCTCCTGCCTTGAAAATCTACAGTTTTGCCACAGTTTTGCCGGGGTTGCTAACTCACAAATTTCATTTACAGACAGGAAAAATGTTTGGACAGATGCATTTTTATGGACATAATTTTTATACTATATTAAGACAACATAAATGGCCAAAAGTGAAAAGTAATTGTCGTCATTCATACATCACAAACAATATGCTATTTAACTCACTTTCATTTAGTTAGTCATGGTCCTGGAAGTTTTCCATTTTGTGATTGTACATCTGACTACTAAACAACTAAAACGTCCAATTTCCCGTTGCTCTGCAGTAAAACTGCTGAAGCAGCACATAAATTTGATTGCTATAGAATAATTGCTGTCTTTTGAAATTTTATTGCACTTTTACAAAATTTAGACATGTCCAATTTCAGCCAATTTTTTTAGCAACCCTGGTTCTTGCTCTACTTGATATCCTGGCAGTTTGAGGGGAAAACAGAACTGACAGCTGAGCTCCAGTTGGGTGTTGGGAAGAAGTACAACCTGCTGATGTGCTCGTAAAGGAGTGGAAGGCAAATTGGGTGTTGTCCATGCAAGGGTGGACAAGCGGAACTCGTGCGGCATGCTTCTGTAAACAGCTGAATTTCATTATTCTGGCAGATGCTTTGTGCTTATATAGCTCTTCATCTGCTCTCAAAGCAGTTTGTAAAGAGGAGCAATAATCCTGTATTGAGCAGGGGTGGCTGCTCACCCCCAAGGGGAAGAACCCCTCTCCGAGCCCCTGTGGGCCAAGCGTGGTCCAGCCCCTCTAACTCTCCGGAGGCCAAGGGGCAGGGCAGGTGGGATAAAAGCCCAGCTCAGGAGCCTCTGCAAGGTCTGAGGACTGGCCTGGACCACTGACCCCTGCTCTGAAGAGGAGACCACCTTTAGTCTGCCAGAGGGTGCAGACAATGACGGGAGCTGGCAGCCTGGGTGGCTCTAGGTAGAGTCAGGAAGTGGTCCAGGGGAAGCAGACGACTGCCAGGCTGATCTTATGAAACTTCAGGGTCAGCGTGGTGTGGGCTGGATCCCTGCTGATCCCAGTGGCAACCCAGGTTGCCACTGCTAGGGTCCTGGGCTGGGATTTGGTGGAATAGGGAGGGCCCATGTCCCCCCTGCCACCCTACATACCGGATGGCAATCTCCCCTCCCCTCTCTTACCTAGGGAACTGCATTCGTGTTGCTGCCCCACCCTGAACTAGGACCTGGGTTTACTAGCTGTTGTTGTGCCCATCCTGTACTCTGGGCCAGAGGCTTAAAGGGGTACTGCTGGGCATTAATTTACAGGCTGGAGTACAGGTCAGGGGCACAAGACTAAGCCAGCCAGTGGCAGTGATGAGAAGAAAGCCCAGCTCTCCAGAGTTCCAATCCAGTAGTGTAAACTAGTCACTTCACAGTTTAGCTGGGGGGGACCAGTTTAGCTGGGCAGTAAAAGCCCTGCCTGAAATGCAGCTTGGTCGTCCCAATCCACAGTGCATCTCTTCCCTGAGTTGCTCCGTCCTGTTCTTGGACATCTGAGTGCAACTTTGTCCCTGCCTCCACCCAATGTGAGCCCTTCCGCCTTTCTGAGATGGGTGGAAACAAACACAAGACAGTCCAACCATTTGCTGGTGCTTCTCCTAAAGGCCTTGGCTCTGATCTGACAGCCTTGTTCCAGGGGCTGCTTGGAGGCCAGTTTGCAGTCTGGTGAGAGTCAGTAGGTGAAGCGTTGCTTTTGGGGGGTGGGGATGGCGCGGCATAAGAGAATAAAGCTTAACCCTAAAATGGGCAAAGGATCTGTACACAACTTTGCCTAAAATAGGGAAAATAGCTTTGCCTGGTCCCTGCTGCCTTGTGACTAGAGACGGAGTAGCTTCTCCAAGCCTGCTTTGCTGGAAGTTCAGTGTTTCACTCACATGGTGAGCTGTCAACCATGAAGGCTTCTTCCCCCTCCCCTGCTGTTGACATTGCTCGGCTAGCTGTCGCCGTTCTGCTGCCAGTCTGGACACGGTACAAGAGCTTTCCCTGGAAGCAGGACGCTAATGCGATCTCAAATGCTTCTCTGCAGTGGTTCTGTCTCAACCTTTCTCCATCCCTTCCTGTACAGGTTCCCACTGCAGCTTTTAAAGAGACTCGGCTCCTCTTTGGTGCCCGCTTCTCTCCTGCCTGAACAATCTGCGGCAAGAGCTTGTATCTAAAATTGTACGTGGAAGTCGTTGCTGGTGTCAGTCACTCTGCAATTGGCCAGTTTCATGTTAAATTAATACTCTGTGCTACTGCACAGGAGTCTATCCCCAGGGTGATCTCCTTTCTCTGGTGTGAGAACCATGGGCCAGGTGGGATCCTGTCTGTTTCTTCTGGCCAAGTGACATGATCAGCCTGAACCATGTAGGCTTCCTGGCTGCAGCTCCTTCCCATGGTAACAGCTACACTGTCCAATACTCTGCCCACGTGGGTTTGACTTGGGATGGGGGGTTTCCTGTTTAAGGTTGGGGTATGTTTCAGGCTCTGCTGGGACTTAAGTGCCTGCCTCAGTGACCAGATTGGCCAACAGAGGGATGTGAAAACCCTGATTAAGCTGGGCCAGCCGGAGCATTTGTGTACGCATGACTGAGATTGGTGGCACAGGCTTTCCTGTCACCTCTCACGGAGCTGGTTTTATGACGTCCGTGGGAGGAGGGTGCTCTACCACGGCTCAGTGACCAGGCAGGCAAAGGCTGTTTAAATGGCTGATCTGCACTCAAGTTGTACTGATGTCGCTGTTTTAGTGTGAGCTGCACACGTACACACAGTCTGTATGTTTAATGGAGATACTAGTGAAAACCCTGCAGTGGACGTAGTTCTATTACATATAAAGTACATGATGCTGATCGTCTGCCCCTGCCTGCACAGAAATAGCTGGCCCAGTTTATGGAAATATCAAAGGGGAAACTAAATACCCTCTGATACTTATTTCCCACCCCTTCTATTTTTCCTTCCTTCCTCTCCCTTCTCCCCTATTTATTTTGGGTCTGCACATCCTAAACTCCAGTCCTCCGACTAAGTGGGTTTGTTAGTCTATGAAGTGCTACCAGACGGCTTGTTGAAGTTACTCCTGTAGGTGGCAGGCTAGGATGACTTTTGACTGCTGGTAATCAGCAATACCCGGCATGGATTTACAGCACTATTAGATGTATTAGCAGGTTGCTGGACAAAGAGCACGTCTGTTGGGTTGCCAGTGCTGTGCTCATGCAGTAGCATAGAGAAATGTGCTGGCGCCAACAACTGTAGATAGCGGCTCTTGTGGGCACCACCCATCCCTTGAAGTCTTGTGGGCAGTTGCGATGACATAAGATGACATCTCAGACCACTCTTTTAACGGGCTACTGTTGGATTTATGCCTTTCGCCTTGGAGCTGGGCTTTGTGTCGGCCTTTGCCAGAACAAACCAACCAAAATGGAGGCAACAAGGACGATTCATGTGGGGCTTTTCCCTGGTTCATGGAGGTCACACGGAGCAGCTACTGCAGAACCGGCCTCCAAGACTGATGCTGCTCCGGAGTATGTCTGTCCTGGTTGCATGGAGCTAAGGTTTTTGCATTGGGGCTGGTGGCCTTCAATCAAATGCAGTCGAGTGAGACTTTTGCTATGACAGTCACATCTCTCTCCTCCTTTGAGCACCGTGTGGGAATAGGAGCAGTTGCCATGGAGGCGGAAAACTAGCAAACACACCCCTAGTTAACACGACTCTTCCTGTTCTAGGCTGATCAGTGGTGCTCAGCAGCATCTGGGGAATCTAAGGCCACATCTGTGTGTGGAAGCTGCGAGGGTTTAATTTGCTGGCTCCTACTGCTCCTGATGCTGGGTCATGAGCACACTTCTATATTTGGCTGCCTCGGGGCTCACCATGACCAAATTGGTGAAAGGGATCTGGCACAGTGGGGAAGCATCCCAGTTTCTCCCGTGCCACCATCCACTGTGTGGCTTCCTGGGAATGTTTTAGCTGTGCATTGTAGGGACCACTGTTCCTCAGCTACTGTAGGAGTTTGGGGTCAAGTTATTCCCTCTGGTTCAGCCTATAATTGTCTTATTGGCACCACTCTAAAAAATGCCTGCAGTCCTGCCTTGTAACCTACGCTCCCTTGTGCTGCTTTTCAACCTCCCCGCCAGCTTCCTGGCAGTGGAGCTGAACAGATCAGCTGAGTTGTCATGTCCTTTTGATCCCCTGTTGGGGATTCTTCTGTAGCTGGGGAAGCCTGGCAGCCGGGCATGCAGCCTTGAAAAGGAGACAGCTAAGGAATGGATGGTGCTGTAGTCAGTCACATCAGCTGCATGCCACCGCATGGCTGTTCTGGCCCTGTGAAGTGAGCACCAAGGGTGGGGGGGGGGGGGGAACAGGTTGTGGGAAGATCAGCTGCAGAACTCTTGGAGGTAAAAGGCCACATTCTTGGCTCTGTGTGCCAGGCTTGCCCTAGCACAGAGATGCTAGAATTCATCCTGCACGTACATCTTAGGCCTTTCAGCATGACCTGCTGCACTGGTCTGGGCCGGGATAGTAGTAAGGAATAATAGATGGGTTTGATGCATCATGTTCCTCTCCCCAGCTTTCTCTGAATATGTAAATAGAATGTGGGCTTTCTCCATGGTCACAAACGCTGATGGATCAGCTGGGGGTTTGACACACCTTACACTGGTCTGGGAAGGTGCACAGCTCTCATGTCTCCAGGAGCGCTAGACTCTTCTGCAAGCAGGCAGACTTTTCCTGG